GAAAAAGGTGAGGGCAAGGAGGACCAGGCAGTGCCCACCTGAGGGCGCTCCTGCTTTGGGCAGCCCCAGAGGCCCAGAGAGGGCCATCTCCTAGCCTGGGCTGCACAGCCAGGCAGGAGAGCCTGCTTTTCTGTGCCCATCTCACTGGAAGGACAGCTGAGCTTCCCAGAAACCCATGGGGACTGGAGCCCTGTCCAGAGCACACTCCACCATCCCCCCAGGAGCTCCTGCCCACCCCCATCATTGTGTTTCTTCTCCTGCAGAATCTGTGTCTGCCACTGGAGAAGCAGCACGACGAGGAAAGGAAGAAGGAAAAGGAGAGGTCTGAGACAGGCCCAGCATTGGATTAGGACCCCGGGGACTTGGGGCCTATCCTGAGACCCCCCACCCACCCTGTGTGCCTCAGTTCTTTTCCTCAGTTGCACCAATAAAGTTTCTGCATTTGGAATAGGCAGGTTGTCATTGGCTCACTCATTCATTCACTCATTCATTCATGTTGAAGCCTGTGCCCCTGGCTGCAGAAGCCCCTGCTGTAACCCCAGCACATATGCCAGGATGAATGATGGCATGTGGTGTGGGAGCCCAGCTCGAGAAGGTTCCTTCTGCAGGAGGGGGAGTCTGGGAAGGCTTCCTGCAAGGGGCATCTCCACCAGCCTAGAAAGATTAGTAGCTTGATAACATCTGCTGATCCTGCTGCAATCCAGGGTCTGAGAGGACACGTTTGAGGAACATAAGGCAGAGGACCCAAAGCGGGAGTTCAGGTGGGTAAGGGGTGGAGAGGACTCAGGCACACAGTATGGTGCCAGGCTTGTAGGACCTTATGGCAAACATCACCCTGGCCATGTGGGACGTGAGCTGAGTGGGGCCTGATGAGGTGAGCTCCTGGACCAGGGCCAGAGCCAAGACAGAGACAGGGGGAATGTTGGACAAGTGCTGGCAAGGGTGTGGGGACACTGGCACCCGCACACGCTGCTGTGAAGTGGTGCCGGCACTTTGGCAACAGTCTGGCAGTTGCCCAAGCGGTTAAACAGTGCCCTGCCTGGGACCAGATCATCATCCTCAGGACCCAGGTGCCAGGCTGGGAACAGGTGCTTTATCACCACTAGCTCATTCCCTCGCTCAGGCTTATGATGCTTATTTCACAGATGAGCAAAGGAAGCTCAGAGAAGTGAGGTGGTGCCGAGGTCTGCCCCAAATCCCCTCATTCTGCTTGTCCAGCCACAGAACCCTGGCCAGGCCACTTCACCTTTTCAGAGCTCCGTTTCCTCACCTAAACCAGCTCCCGGGGCAGGTCCAATAGGACAATCCACGTAAAAAGCTCTGTGTGCTGCCTGTAAATGTCGGCTCCGGAGGCCCAGGGTCCCAGAGCTGAGGGGCCAGTCCTGGATTCACATCCAGGGCTAATCAGCACCCACTAGATACTAATACACGTCCCCTGAACCCAGTGGCCAATAAACCAGCTTCTTGAATCCATTTCCCCCCCTCAGGGCCCATCTGGGTTAATTACTCCGTGCCCCCACACCCCTACCTTCTGAGAATTTGAGGACCAGCTTGGCCTGAGAGTTACCCAAAACTTCCCCCGGGGCAGAAGCCACAAAAACAAAACCCAACCAACCCTCCTGGCTGGCAAGCAGGGGCTATAAGGCGGCGGACCACCGGGGGGCAGCAGAGGCACATGCAGCTTTCTAGAGGGCGCACAGGCCTCAGCCTCTGAGCATGCTCAGTCTTGCAGCTGGAGAACATTGAGGGCCCCATCAGCCCAAGTTGCAGCAGCATTAGAAGCACTATGGTTCCTGGGCACCCTCTATGCAGTACAGACTGTCTGTACATTTATTAGTTCATTTCATCCTCACCACAGCCCATGTCACAGAGGAACAGTGACCTGCCCAAAACAATGACGTGGCTATGCCGGTCAGGGCTGTCGGGCCCTGAGCCCGGGGCCCTTCTCCTCCCCCCTGGCCCATCCACCCCTGGGGACAGCACGCTGGTTAGTTCTGTCCACAGGTCTGAGCCTGGAAGGACATGGAACGGCCGCAGAAATAGAGACCCCAAGGTGACAGCAGACACTCTGAATGAATGAATGAATGAATGAATGAATGAACGAGCGAATGGAGAGGACTATTGGAACTCCAACAAGGACACAGTAAAGTGCTAGGGTTCTGGAGTCACAAGGACCTGGGTTCAAATGCAGGCTTTACCACTTGTAAGCTATACAGTGGGGTCTTGACTTACGAGTTTAATTCATTCAGAGACCAAGCTTGTTAAGGAGCTCGTTAACTATAGCTGGTATCTCAAAAAACTCGTTAGTCGGGACACTCGTAAGTCAAGGCCCCACTAAATGTCCCTGGGCAAGTTCCTTGACCTCTTAGCTTCCCTACTCATAAAATGCCACAATAACATAGGGGGCAAAACCTACTTCATAGAATTGCAAGGATTAATGTTTGTCAAACCCTTAGCATGATGCCCTGTATACAGTAGGCAATTAATAAATGTCAGCTCCATCATTATCATAATCATTATCATCATCATTGCTTGAAAGGCCCCAGAGCCCATCTCCAACCCTTTCATTATCGATGTGGTACTTGAAGCCCAGAGAAGTTAGGAACTTTGCTAACGTCACACAGCAAGTCAGTGGGGAGAGCTGGGACTTGAACTGAATGCCCATATTCTCAGGCCACTGCTCTCCCCACAAGTCTTCCCTGTTGGGTTTGGGGGAAAGAATGGGAGTGGAGGGAGCAGGGAGGGGAGATAAGATGTAATCGCTGCTGCCAGTCCCCTGGCTGGCTGCACCCTCCTAGGAGGACTCTTATGGAACTGCTTAAATCATGTCCCTGGTTTCTCCATGTTAAGGTCAAGGAGGGTGGCTTTAGGCCGCAGCACCTGGAGCAACAGGTGTGAGGGCAGGACACCCTGGGAGGCCTGGGGATCCCAGAAAAATCCGGTTCCCTGGTCTGTAGCTTTGACCTGCCTCCACGCTCAGGCAGGCCCACATCTGGCCAGACATTACCCTCCCCTCCTGGCCCTGGCCACTTCCATCCCTTACCTGCGTCCTGGGTCCTCACAGGCTGGCAGTGGGACAGGAGACTGTGCTATTGCCTTTTGGTACAATCTTGGGGGGCAGAACATGGTACTCCTGGCCTGGGGGCGAACACAGAACAGTTTGTGTCAGCTTCCTACATGGCTGCAGAATTGAGGGGGTTAGTATAATGACCTCTCTGTCTCTTTCTATTGTGTGCGCACACACATGGTATATGTGCATAACTATGTGTATATATCTATACTAATAAAAGGGTAATATGCTAATTAGACCAGACATCCTTCTGGATGTCCTTCTGGACAAAGCCACATTGGCAGGGGCCAAGGCAGAGGAGGTTAGGGCCAATCATGCTGGCAGGGGAGAGCAGTTAGGGGCGATCAGGCAAGCAGGCATAGTGGTTAGGGGTGATCAGGCAGGCAGGCTGGTGAGCAGTTAGGAGCCAGCAGTCCCAGTTTGCAAGAGGGATGCAGTCCCTGGGGATTTGGGCCTAAACCAGTAGTCGGACATCCCCTGAGGGGTCCTAGATTAGAGAGGGTGCAGGCCAGGCTGAGGGACCCCATCCCATCCCCCCATGCAAGAATTTCATGCACCGGGCCTCAAGTACCTCAATAAAGCTGGAAATAATAACATAAAATGCTATAGAAAGATAGAAAGAGCCCTAGCCAATTTGGCTCAGTGGATAGATGTTTCTATCTCTCTGTCCCTCTCCTCTCCCTTCCTATCTGAAATCAATAAAAAAAAAATTTTTTTAAAAGATATAAAAAGAGGGCATAATTAAGGAAATTATCATCTAGGAAGTGAATGAAAGGTGATGTGAACTTTAAAATCACAACCACTCACTACAGTGAAAAATTCAAAATATATATAATGGCCCTAGCTGGTTTGGTTCAGTGGATGGAGCATTAGTCTGTGGAATGAAAGGTCCCAGGTTTGATTCCATTCAAGGGCACATGCTCACGTTGCGGGCTCAATCCGCAATACTGGGCGTGCAGGAGGCAGCCAATCAATGAGTCTCACTTGTTATTGATATTTCTGTCTCCCTCTCCCTCTCCCTTCCTCTCTGAAATCAATAAAAATATTATTTAAAAAAAAATAAAATGGACGAGCATTCAAAGTTGTAAGCATACCATAATACTACTTTGTGAAAATATGATTTGTATGGATAAAGATTTGACCTCGACATGTAGAAATGCAGAAGGGTGGTAGAGTTAGTAATTGCACAGGATTTCCTGAGCACCCACTGTGTGCTGGGCACTGCTCCAGGATTGGGGCAGCTGGTGAAAGAGAGCAAGATTCCCACTTGAATATCAGAGGATGAAGAAAACACAGAAGTGATTTCCTGTTTCAGATGTTGGAGATGGTTCACATAAAACATTTACTGAAAACAGACATTCAACTTAATGCCCTGTGTTGATTTTTGTTTGTTTGTTTTTTGGGAAATATCCCTGCCTCCAGGCCTGGGTTGGGGCCTCTCTGGACTTTTGGTCTTTCACAGTTGTTACCACACTCAACTGGAACTGAATCCATGTTTGCCTTCCCCTACCCCCTGCACCCTCCCCCACCCATCACCCCTACACCCAGGCTAGCCTGGGAACCTCCAAGTTGCCTTCAGCATTTGATTTATGACTGGGTCCCTCTCAAGTCCTGGCACTCAGAGGGGCAGGAGTTGGATGAAACCATGAGCACCTGCCCCTCTATGGAATCTACCATCTTCACTAATATCACTCCAGCCCTTTCCACCTTGGCTTTGCACAGCCAGACCTTTGGACTCTGATCTCGAGGTCAGGGACCCAAATTAGACCTGAGCTTGGAGGCTTTACCTGGCCTAATCTTTGGGAAAGGAGGGAAGGTTCTGCGCATGGCATTTCCCAAAAGCTCACAGGATTGTGTCACAGCGGGTCCCCAGGGCCCTGCCCACAGCTCATTATAAAGGTCACTGCACCCCTCAGCCACCAGTACCTCGGACTCTAGCCACATCCTGGTCTTGCCATGGCGCTGCCCTGGGCCCTTGCAGTCTTGAGCCTTCTTCCCCTGCTGGACGCCCAGAGCCCGGCGTGTCCCAATTTCTCGGTGCCCATCACCAATGCCTCCCTGGACCAGGTGGGTGCCTGGGCCCTGAGGGCCGTGGGAGCTGTCTCCCTCTCTGGACTCTCTTCCCCTGCGGGCTTGCGGTCAGCCTCTCCTGGGTGCTGGGGTGAGAACCAGGCCAGCCTTCAGCGGCTTCCTCTGCCTCCAAGCTCAGAGTCGCCTTGCAAAGTCCCTCAGCAGGGCAAGCTGACTGGCCCAGGGGCCATGTGGGAGGGGTTGGGGCCTGGACCAGGTGGGGGGTGATGGCTGATTCCTGGAGTGAGCTCCTGTAGCCCCACTCCTCCCCCGGGCCTCCAGTCTCCTGATTTGCAAAGTGGAAAGATCTGCCTGAGTCTCCTCCCAGCTGACTATCAAGAATTAGGCTCTCAGTCTCCATCACCTGCTCCTGGCTTCTCCTCAGATCTCTGGCAAGTGGTTTTATATCGCCTCGGCTTACCGCTTCCCGGAGTACAAGAAGGAAGCTAGCGAACTCCATACAGTCTTCTTTTACTTCACCCCCAACCACACGGAGGACACGATACTGCTCAGACAGTACATGACCATGTAAGACTCACACATGACCCAAGCATGCCAGCTCAGCCCAGCTTCTGGCTCCTCCTCCCAGCTGCCCAAACACCTTGAGCAAGCTCCTCCCCTCTCCTGGCCTCAGCCTTCTCATCTAGGGAATGGGGTCGGGGCTGACTCTAATTGCCACCTGACTCTCCCTCCAAGATTGTGACAGTCCACTTCTTGACTATCTTACTGTTTTCTCCCCTCTTCTCTCTGGCTTTAGAGGTGATCAGTGCATCTATAACTCCACCATCCTGAAGATCCAACGGGAAAATGCGACCCTGTCCAAATACAGTGAGCCCTGAGGGGAAGGGTGGGTGGGCCAGGCCAAATGAGGGGTCCTGGGGGCTTTGGGCACAGAAGCTCAGAGACGCCCTCTTCTTCCATCTCCATGGGCCCGCTGCCTGCACACTGAAGCCATCAGTCATAGCTGCCAACATCTCTGAGCTCTTACTATGTGCCGGGTGCTGTTTGAAGTGCTTTCTATGAATTAACCCACTTTAATACTCACAAACCACCCAAGGAGGACACTGCAGTGATCAGCTCAGGAAATGGAGAGACAGGAGCCCCCTTGTCTCTCTCACTCCTCCTGCAATTAGACCTGGACTCAACCCGAGGTTGGTTCCAGTCCTGCTTCTAAACCACAGATTTTCTTTTGTAAATGCTCACCTGAGGATATTTTCCCATTGGTTTTTAGAGAGTGAAAGGGATGAGGAGAGAAAGAGAGAAAGGAAACATCAATGTGAGAGTCACACATTGATTGGTTGCCTCCCACACCATGGCCTAGGACAGCTGTGGGCAAACTACGGCCCGCGGGCCGGATCCAGCCCGTTTGAAATGAATAAAACTAAAAAAAAAAAAAAAAGACCGTACCCTTTTATGTAATGATGTTTAATTTGAATTTATATTAGTTCACACAAACACTCCACCCCTTTTTTTGTTCCGGCCCTCGGTCCAGTTTAAGAACCCATTGTGGCCCTCGAGTCAAAAAGTTTGCCCACCCCTGGCCTAGGATCAAGCCTGCAACTGAGGTACATGCCCTTGGCCGGAACTGAACCCTGGACACTTCAGTCCGTGGGACGATGCTCTATCCTCTTAGCCAAACTGGCTAGGGCTCAACCACTCTTTGTCCTCTGGGACCTAAGGGTGGCAGCCTGTTTATTGGGCAGGCAGTGACTTCACCCATGTCCCCACCAACACAGCAGAGAAGGCCCATAGCAGGAACACACAAATGCCAATGGAACTGAACCAACACCCCAGGCTCCTCTCTGAACCTCATTTTCCTCATCTGGAAAATGGGGAGAAAGACCCTGACAGCCACAGTTCACAGAGGCTCCTCTGATTCCACATCCATTCGGCACAGGGCCTGGTGCACAGGAGTGAACCTCTGTCCCTCACCGATTGGCTGTGTGGGCCTGGGCACACCCAGGTTTCCTCGCCTGTGAGGAGAGACCCACTGTGCCATCTCCATGGTCTCACCCAGAGGCTTTTTCTTCCAGAGAATGACACAGAACATTTTCGCCACCTGCTGCTTCCCAAGGACCCCAAGACCTTCATGCTTGCCACTTTCCCAGAAGACAAGCAGAACATGGGGCTGTCCATCTTTGGTAGGCACCCCTAAACTCCCACCAGGCTTCCCCCAGGACCACCTCCTCCTAGGGCTGGGCCCCTAGACTTCTAGTCCTCCCTGGCCTCTACCCACCCCTCCCTCCATATCCTCCCCACAACCCCCCCCACACACACACGCTGACATTCTCACCTGTCTCACCTGTCCCCTTGCTCCCTCCTGCAGCTGACAAGCCAGAGGTGACCCCGGAGCAAATGCAACAGTTCTCACGTGCATGGGCATGGACAAGTCGGAAGTCATGTACACGGATGAGAAAAAGGTGAGGGCAAGGAGGACTAGGCGGTGCCCACCTGAGGGCGCTCCTGCTTTGGGCAGCCCCAGAGGCCCAGAGAGGGCCATCTCCCAGCCTGGGCTGCACAGCCAGGCAGGAGAGCCTGCTTTTCTGTGCCCATCTCACTGCGGGGACAGCTGAGCTTCCCAGAGGCCCATGGGGACTGGAGCCCCAGTCCAGAGCCCACTCCACTTTTTCCCCAAGAGACCCTGCCCACCCCCATCACTGTGCTTTCTTCTCCTGCAGAATCTATGCCTGCCACTGGAGAAGCAGCACGACGAGGAAAGGAAGAAGGAAAAGGAGAGGTCTGAGACAGGCCCAGCACTGGATTAGGAGCTCAGTGACTATGGGGGCCCATCATGAGACCCCCACCCACCCTGTGTTCCTCAGTTGTTTTCCTCCGTTGCATCAATAAAGTTTCTACATTTGGAATAGGCAGGTTGTCATTTGCTCACTCACTCATTCATTCATGTTGAAGCCTGTGCCCCTGGCTGCAGAAACCCCTGCTGTAACCCCCAGCACACATGCCAGGATGGATGATGGCATTGGTGTGAGAGCCCAGCTCCAGAAGGTTCCTTCTGCAGGAGGGAGAGTCTGGGAAGGCTTCCTGGAAGGGGCATCTGAGCCAGTCTAGAAAGATTAGGAGCTTGGTTAACACCTGCTGATCCTGCCGCAAGCCAAGGGTCTGAGAGGACACGTTTGAGGAACATAAGGCAGAGGACTAAAGCGGGAGTTCAGGTGGGCAAGGGGTGGAGAGGACTCAGGCACAGGGCACGGTGCCAGGCTTGAAGGACCTTATGGCAAACATCACCCTGGCCATCTGGGAGGTGAGCTGGGTGGGGCCTAATGAGGTGAGCTCCTGGGCCAGGGCCAGAGCCAAGACAGAGACAGGGGGAATGTTGGAAACACAGAAGCCTCCAGAGGGAGGCAGGAAGAGTGGGAATGTGCCCCCAACAGGCCCACGGGTGGGGAAGGGGGGAATGGCTGTGACAACCTTCCATCCCACCAAACTGACTTTAGAAACCACAGGTCAATTGACATACACCACAAACAGCACAAACTTTGAGAATGTTTTGCGGTGTTGTTTTTTTTAAAGATAAATATTCATTCTTCTTCATTTGCCTCATAACGAAAACACACTGTTCCAATGCCCCCAATATACAAATATCACTGATGCACACACATTCCAGAAAAGCTGAGGTACTCACTGCTACAGTGAGGGGGGATAGGACACGGCCTGGCAGGTAGCTGGCCCAATTCCACAGGGATCCCCTGGTCAGAGCAAGGGTCTGGAGATGAGGAACAGAGAGGGGCCTGGGAGGATTGGGACTAAAGGGGCAGTCGGACATCCCTTGAGGGGTCCCAGATTGGAGAGGGTGCAAGCTGGGTTGAGGGACACCCCCCAACCCCCGTGCATGAATTTCATGCACCAGGCCTCTAGTAATGACAAAAAATGCTATAGAAAGATATAAAGAGAAGGCATGGTTAAGTATATTATAATCTAGGAAGTGAATGAAAGGGGATATGAGCTTTAAAATCACAACCACTCACTACAGTGAAACATGAAAAACTATTCAAAATATATAAAATGGCCCTAGCTGGTTTGGTTCAGTGGATGGAGCATCAGCCTGCAGACTAAAGGGTCAGAGGTTCAATTCTGGTCAAGGGGACGAGCCTGGGTTGCCAGCTCCATCCCAGGTAGGGAGTGTGCAGGAGGCAGCCAATCAATGATTCTCATCATTGAAGTCTCTCTCTCTCTCTCTCTCTCCCACTCTGAACTCAATAAAAATATCATTTAAAAAAACAAAAAATAAAATGGACCAGCATTCAAAGTTGTAAGCATACCATAATGATACTTTGTGAAAATATGATTTGTATGGATAAAGATTTGACCCCGTCAAGTAGAAATGCAGAAGGGTGGTAGAGTTAGTGATTCCACAGGATTCCTGAGCACCCACTGTGTGCTGGGCACTGCTCCAGGATTGGGGCAGCTGGTGAAAGAGAGCAAGCTTCCCACTTGAATAGCAGAGGATGAAGACGATACAGAAGTGATTTCCTGTTTCAGATGTTGGAGATGGTTCACATAAAACATTTACTGAAAACAGACATTCAACTTAATGCCCCTTGTTGTTTTTTGGTTTTTGTTCATTTGCTTTGGAAAATATCCCTGCCTCCAGGCCTGGGTTGGGGCCTCTCTGGACTTTTGGTCTTTCACAGTTGTTACCACACTCAACTGGAACTAAATCCATGTTTGCCTTCCCCGGCCGCCTTTCACCCCTCCCCCTCCCATCGCCCCTACACCCAGGCTAGCCTGGGAACCTCCAAGTTGCCTTCAGCATTTGATTTATGACTGGGTCCCTCTCAAGTCCTGGCACTCAGAGGGGCAGGAGTTGGATGAAACCCTGAGCACCTGCCCCTCTATGGAATCTACCAGCTTCACTAATATCACTCCAGCCCTTTCCACCTTGGCTTTGAACAGCCAGACCTTTGGGCCCTGGTCTCAAGGTCAGGGACCCAAATTAGACCCGAGCTTGGAGGCTTTACCTGGGCTGACCTTTGGGAAAGGAGGGAAGGTTCTGCGCATGGCATTTCCCAAACACTCACAGGATTGTGTCACAGCGGGTCCCCAGGGCCCTGCCCACAGCTCATTATAAAGGTCACCGCACCCCTCAGCCACCAGTACCTCGGACTCTAGCCACATCCTGGTCTTGCCATGGCGCTGCCCTGGGCCCTTGCAGTCTTGAGCCTTCTTCCCCTGCTGGACGCCCAGAGCCCGGCGTGTCCCAATTTTTCGGTGCCCATCACCAATGCCTCCCTGGACCAGGTGGGTGCCTGGGCCCTGAGTGCCGTGGGAGCTGTCTCCCTCTCTGGACTTCCTTCCCCTGCGGGCTTGCAGTCAGCGTCTGCTGGGCGCTGGGGTGAGAACCAGGCCAGCCTCCAGCGGTGGTCCTCTGCCTCCAAGCTCAGAGCTGCCTTGCAAAGTCCCTCAGCAGGGCAAGCTGCACTGGGGCAGGGGTGAGGGGTGGGGGTGCCTGAGGTGGGGGGAGCGTCGGAGGGGTGATGGCTCATTCCTAGAGTGATTTCCTGCATCCCAACCCCTCCCCGGCCTCTGTCTGCTGATTTGCAAAGTGGAAAGATCTGCCTGAGTCTCCTCCCAGCTGACTATCAAGGATTAAGCTCTCAGTCTCCATCACCTGCTCCTGGCTTCTCCTCAGATCTCTGGCAAGTGGTTTTATATCGCCTCGGCTTACCGCTTCCCGGAGTACAAGAAGGAAGCTAGCGAAATCCATGCATCCTTCTTTTACTTCACCCCCAACCACACGGCGGACACAATACTGCTCAGAGAGTACATGACTGTGTAAGAACCGCACATGGCCCTCAAGTGCCAGCTCAGCCCCACCTGCAGCTCAGCCCCACCTGCAGCTCAGCTTCTGGCTCCTCCTCCCAGCTGCCTCAGCATTCTCATCAGGGGATGGGGGCGGGGGTGACTCTAATTGCCACCTGACTCTCCCCCTCCAAGATTGTGACAGTCCACTTCTTGACTATCTTATTGTTTTTCTCCCCTCTTCTCTCTGGCTTTAGGGGGGACCAGTGCCTCTATAACTCCACCATCCTGAAGGTCCATCGGGAAAATGCGACCCTGACCAAATCCGGTGAGCCCTGAGGGGAAGGGTTGCTGTGTGGGATGGGAGATGGTGGGTGGGCCAGGCCAAAGGAGGGGACCTGGGGGCTTTGGGCACAGAGAGCCCGGAGACGCCCTCTCCTTCCATCTCCATGGGCCCGCTGCCTGCACACTGAAGCCATCAGTCATAGCTGCCAGCATCTCTGAGCTCTTACTATGTGCCGGGTGCTGTTTGAAGTGCTTTCTATGAATTAACCCACTTTAATACTCACAAACCACCCAAGGACATTGCAGTGATCAGCTCAGGAAATGGAGAGACAGGAGCCCACTTGTCCCTCTCACTCCTGCAATTAGACCTGGACTCTACCCGAGGTTGTTTCCAGTCCTGCCTCTCCTCCAGCCTTTTTGTTTTTTGTAAATGCTCACGAGGATGTTTTCCCATTGATTTTTAGAGAGTGAAAGGGAGGGGGAGAGACGGAGAGAAAGGAAACATCAATGTGTGACAGACATATTGATTGGCTGCCTCCCACACCAGGGCCAGGGATTGAGTCTGCAACCAAGATACATGCCCTTGGCCGGAACTGAACCCTGGACCCTTCAGTCAATGGGCCGATGCTCTATCCTCTAAGCCAAACTGGCAAGGGCTCAACCACTCTTTACCCTCTGGGACCTAAGGGTGGCAGCCTGTTTATTGGGCAGGCAGTGACTTCACCCATGATCCCACCATCACTGCAGAGAAGGCCTATAGCAGGAACACACAAATGCCAATGGAATTGAACCAACACCCCAGGCTCCTCTCTGAACCTCATTTTCCTCATCTGGAAAATGGGGAGAAGGCCCTGACAGCCACAGTTCACAGAGGCTCCTCTGATTCCACATCCATTTGGCACAGGGCCTGGCGCACAGTAGGGGTGAGGGACAGTGGTCCAGGTGAACCCCTGGCCCTCACGGATTGGCTGTGTGGGCCTGAGCACCCCCAGCTTTCCTCACCTGTGAGGAGGGACCCACTGTGCTTACTCCATGGTCTCACCCAGCGGCTTTCTCTTCCAGGGAATGGCACAGAACATTATGGGCAACTGGTCCTCTCCAAGGACCCCAAGATCTTCATGCTCGCCTCTTTCCCAGAAGACAAGCAGAACATGGGGCTGTCCTTCTTTGGTAGGCACCCCCAAACTCCCACCAGCCTTCCCCTAGTACCGCCTGCTCCTAGGGCTGGGCCCCTAGACCTCCAGTACTCCCTGGCCTCTACCCTGCCCTTCCCACCCCTCCCACCCCCACACACACTGACATTCTCACCTGTCCCCTTGCTCCCTCCTGCAGCTGACAAGCCAGAGGTGACCCCGGAGCAAATGCAACAGTTCTATGACTACCTCACGTGCATGGGCATGGACAAGTCGGAAGTCATGTACTCTGATGAGAAAAAGGTGAGGGCAAGGAGGACTAGGCGGTGCCCACCTGAGGGCGCTCCTGCTTTGGGCAGCCCCAGAGGCCCAGAGAGGGCCATCTCCCGGCCAGGGCTGCACAGCCAGGCAGGAGAGCCGGCTTTTCTGTGCCCATCTCACTGGAAGGACAGCTGAGCTTCCCAGAGGCCCATGGGGACTGGAGCCCCAGTCCAGAGCACACTCCACCTTCCCCTCAGGAGGCCCTGCCCACCCCCATCATTGTGTTTCTTCTCCTGCTGTCCTGCAGAATCTGTGCCTGCCGGTGGAGAAGCAGCACGACGAGGAAAGGAAGAAGGAAAAGGAGAGGTCCGAGACAGGCCCAGCATTGGATTAGGACCCCGGGACTCGGGGCCCATCCTGAGACCCCACCCA